AATTAGATGAAATTCAAAATTATTTAGGGATTTCTGACTTTATTATACTGTATTATACTCATACTTTAATACAGTAGAACCCCGATTATTCGAGGTAATGTGCATCGATGCTACAGTACACTGGATAACCAAAAACTTGGATAATATGGCCACAACGTTTTCGGATTAAAATTTTCAATATAAAAGATTTATATTGTATATCACTTTTATGTTATTTTTTATACCAAAGTAAATTTAATTATGTGTAAGTACAATAACTTTAAAAATAAAACAAATGTAGTCTATTATTGTAGTTTCTTTTTAATATGAATAGTTTGTCTAAAATTGAAGTGAAATGATTAAAGGGAACAGAAACAAACTATTTCGTAATACTTATTATTGTTTAAAACTCTATTCTGTGAATTACTGTGTAAGGAAAGTAATGTATGAACTTACAGATTCGCCTCGGATAATTGGAGTTTCACTGTAATATGTTTACAGTAAAGAGAAAATAGCAAATTACTATCTTAATAGAGAAAAATCTTTAAAAATGTTATTTTGGAAAAATACATAATACTGTATTTTTATTGCATTGATAAAATAATTTATAAATTTATTTAATACAATGTGAGAATGTTCCTGAATTTTTCATGAATTTATTCTATAGTTTACATATATATATATATATATCATTGTTTATTATGGTATTATAGTCAATATTTTCCCTTTATTTAATATTATTCAGCTTATTTTGAAGTCACCAGATTCTGATTATTATTCGTTTCAAATTACAAATCTTATGAATAAATTACTCGAAGCAAAACTACATTAAAAAACTAGGAAAATATTTCCAAATCATTTTAATTAATAAAGTAAGAACAATTTTTTTATAATGAAAGAACGTTTTTATTAATTTAAAAAATTTAAAAACTAAAGAATGTATTTGAATCCACTAAAATAAAATATATATTTCAAGTTTTCTTTACAACTCACTGCTCTGAGTAAAATTTCATGTGCAAATGTATCTGTTATTCTGTTCTCATATATCATTTTTAGTAAATTGATATTAAATGACAAGCTTGATAAACCTAGACATATAGTAAAAATATAACTTGAATGTATTTGAAATTAATTCAATGATTGAAATATAAATGATAATTAAATAATTAAGCAATTATATATTTAGGTTTCAGTCCCTCCTTAATATAATTTATACAAAAAAAGTGAAGTTTTTACAGAAATTTATTCTTTCAAGTGAGGAAAAATTATGAAATAAATTTGACAGAAAGGCCTGACAATACCGATGAACTGATAAAATAGGATCAAAGGCTTGACAATATAAGTCTAATAGATGAAAGATATATAGCGGTAGGAACTCAAAACTATACGAGACAAAAAACGTGTCTTTTTGTGATAATATTTCTTTTGGCAATAATGAAATGGAACGGTTTATGTTGAAGAAATTCAGAATGTTTCATAATAAACAATAAAACTATAAATTTGCAAATATATTCACAGAAAAAAATGTGTACAGTACAGTATGTACTGGAAAACACTAGATACTAACGAGAATCATAAACTACAATGAAAACAAACATTCGTTTAACAAATGAATATCGTCAGCATTACTTAAAGTCTTGCATAACAACTTGCTAACAATTATTTTTCTGCCCGATTACTTTTAGGTCATTCGATTCAAGCCGATACAAGCCAATAAATTCTTGCAACAAACTTTCTTAAAATGTTTGAAGTAATAATTTGGTCTCATTAAAGTCTATTCTCTCGGCCCAATTCAACTAGAAAGTTGTTTAACGATCGATTGTCTCTGATCAGAGAAAGGGCGGTACTCTCCTGTTCAATCAAACAGTTAATTTGTTTTCGGGTTAAACCTCGACCTTAACTTAAAATCATCTCATTTCCTATTTTATTTTTCAGTATATTTGAATATTTTCTTTAAATTTTTTTTCAAATTTCTTATGAACAATATTTTCAAAAATATTTATTATTTTTGAAGAAGTTTTACCTCGAAAAAGATTCAAGTAAAACAATATATTTGGATTTTGTTTTTGAAAAAGAACGTAACGAGCCGTGGTTCGTGAAACAGAGTTATTTCCAAATTGATCAATGGTAACGTGTAGCAAGGGATATCTCTAATGTCTGACAAATTCACCTTCCCTCTACCTATCGTGCAAACACCATATCAAGTCATTAATATTCGGAATATTTCGGTATCATGACTCGTCACCTTATTTTTCGAACAAATACAATACGAATTAGTTGGATTTATAATATATTGGATTGAGTTAATAGGATAATATAACGCAACACGAAGGGTGCCTCCCAGGAAGACTTTCTGTGAAAACCAATTCAATTTAGGTATTAGACAAACGAACAAACACCAGAAAACTCCAAATGGCCAGCCCGTTGATCAGTCTCGAAGCCGACACCAACTGTTAGTGTTAAATGTATTTTATCCACTCTGCCACTAATGGGAAAATTGAAATTAGAATAAATTAAATTATTTTTCAACATATGAATTGAAATAACACTTCATTAAAACCATATTCATTTGCAATATATCTTTATATCATTTTAATTAATAGAGTAAGTACAGTACATTTTATAGAAACAACACACAAAATATACAGTTATATTTTATATTATTATATTTTTTGGGGAGATTTCTTTATTATTTTTTAGAAACAACTTAAGACGATTCTTTGTCTTCTTTCATATCCAAATATTATTTCGTGAGAGAGTTTTAACGTAATGATTATTATTACATTTTTACTTTTCACAATCCACAATAAATGATATCGCTACAATTACCAGCCATAATGAAATTAGTTCCGTATCTTCCGTCTACGAAAATAAATGTACTCCATTCAAATATATTAATTTTTAAATGTAGTCTTGATGTGATAAACTTTATTCTTAAATGGAGATTTGCTTCGTTTCAAAATATTACTTACAATAATTATATATATAACTTAAAGGTAGAATCATAATTCGAATTTAATTATTTAAGAATTGAACTTTTTTTCATCGAAATCGAAATTAATAATAAAAATGTGAAACAGAAATTGTCGCATTGATATGATTTAAGAAGTAAATGCGAGATTCGCCATAAAATGAAACAATTAAATTGTTAATTGTGGGAATGTTTCCAATTACCGGCATTATTTTCTAATGTTGTACTTTAATATTTTAGAAAGTGTTTATAACTCTGGTAGGTAATAACGTCTCGACTGTAAAATACTTCCTGAAGTAATTTAAGCGTCATTCTTCTTTTTATATTATCATCACACTTTTTTCATATNTGGATTACATATATTAAAATATAACAAATAGATTAAACTTAATTACTTATGGATTTAAAATAATATATATTAATTTGTTATGGATATATCATATGCAAATTACACGAAAATTAATGACAAATATTGAACTCTGAAGATTGTTACATTACAATGAAAGGTAACTTTTGTAATTTATAACGTTACCAAATTCATCTACATTCGATTTATCCACTGTAAATAACGAATAAGTCGAATAAATTTTACATAAGTAAATTGATGTTATTCATCTTTATAAAGTTTCCTGCAATATTTATCATTGTTATACGATACCTTGTAAATTATTTATAATATATACTCAATTATTCGCAGAAATTTTAGGATAAAAATGCTGTCGACATTGTCTGGAAGTTAATATCTCTTCGTTAAATAAATTCATTTCTCTATTATATAGCTAATAAATTTGATTTTTTATTCTTTTTTATGCATTAGAATAAAGACATTCAATGTAAAATGGATCGATAGAGCTTATACAAATTTTCATACATAAGACTTAGAGAATAATTTATTTTATGTTTACTTTTATATATTATAAGAATCAGATGTAACTAACGTTTAAGTACTCATTATTGTAAATGTAATCAAAGTATTTGTGTTGTTTTCCAATTTATAAAGAATACTTACAAATGCGTCAAATAAGAATTTCATAAAGAAATTTTTAATTAAAAATTATTTTTTATGTTTTACTAATTCGAAGCAATTAATTTACTATTAGGATCTATTGTAATACGATTACAATTAATTTTAAAATAATTATAATTATGAAATTAATTGTACTCGTATTACTGTTTTACAGTATATATCGTGTAAACTTCGCAAATCTCCTGAGAGTCTTAGAAATGATTAGACAGCTTCCAAATTTTGACACTTCTTACTTTTTCGATTCGTTAAATATAACTATCAGAAACGAAATTCTTAATAAATAATATAAAGGAAACGTTTTAAAAGTTTTTAACGAGGGAGTCGTTTGCTTCAATATATAACAACTTACTAATTTTATACACGACCCGTTAACACTCCTGAATCCGTTAATTTTTCACTTTTATTTTATTAGCAGAATCAATGCCTTAAGAAAGAATTCTTCATTCTATTTAGCATACTTATACACTTTTTTGTTACGATTTTTTTTTTACTTTTCACAGATTAAAATGTAAATTTTCACCACATTGTTTACAGTCTTAATTTTATAATTTTAAGCAATTTTTACGTTAAAATATAATTGCTGATATAAACAATTTTTAATGATAATCTCTTCTCTTTCTCTGTAATATTTTAATCTATCACTAAGGGTTTTTTTTTAAATTTAAAATATAATTGTTTTATAAATTTAATAAAAAAATGTTTTGTAAGATAATACAAATGTAATCTCCTTTTACCAAAAAGATTAAGATGTATTAAATCTAAAGCTATTAAGTTATATTATATGTCATAAAAAGAATTTGCAGTATGATTTCATTAGCAATATAGATCTCCTGTACCCAGAAAATAATGTCATTTTCGAATTGTAAAATTCCCTAGAAGCAATGTGTCGATTCTTCGACTGGCACACGGCTGAAGCCAAGCTTTCAAACGAAGAAAACCACGTTTTGTCAAATTTAAAATTCAGTTTCCACCCAATTTCACATTTGCGGTGGAAAAAAATCGTATTTCGAGATTGAAGAAACACGACAAGAATTTTTATTTTCGTACAAGTTTGTATTTATTACCGTTCTGTATACAGCGAAATCATAACTTCGTATCTCCGACACAAAACACTTAACAATATACAGAAAATTGTTATTAATAAGAAACAGTGATATGGACATGTAATGTTGACACAGCATTATAAACCTGGCATGTACAAAGGTCTAAAACAATCAGCGAGATCTCCATCTGTCCACAATAGCGCATCACACTTCATTTACTCAAACCACTCTACACAGGATCTTTTTTTTTTGTGAATAAATAATTTAATTTATTGATATTTTAGTTTTTATTCTGGTGTGCTTTTTTATGTTCGGTCTAACTTACATATCTTTGGTGGGAAGAACGACTAGTGTTTTAGTAACCGAACTTAAAAATTTTTTCACGTAACAGAAAGAATAGAATTGAATCCCGATATTTTGATCTTATTTACAATATTTACATGCAATTTGATAGAAAACAAAGCGAAGGAAGATTTAGATAGTTTTTTTATGTGGGCAGTTTCGATACATACTGAAGAAACAGCACGCTTAATCATTCAATAGTATAAATCAGATGTGAACGGAATGTAAATAGAAGCTAAATCTGTAATACTCGATATGTAGCAACAAGGAATCAAAACATTCGCTATTCCAAAAACGTGCCCATTCTTTCTCGTTGAAAGTTAGTTTAAACATTAAAAAAAATGCAGTTGAGATAAATAAGTTATAAACGAGTATGGTCCCTTTTTAAATGTGCTATGCTATGTTACAAAATATAAATTGCAGTGATGAACAAAGCAAATATTGCAAGGAATATAATAAAATTATATAAAGTAAAAGAGTTCGATTAATAACATCAATCTTCTCTTAGTTAAGATGGTTCTCACCTTGAACATCGACGACGATATACCAAGTAATTGCCATCTGCAGACATAAACATAGGCACAAACGACTTCGAATTGATTCTTTTTTACAGGCACTCTCTTATCTCTCGGCTCTGTTCTCATAGTAGTTTTCCACGGATCAGTTCCTTTGATTTTCTGCTGATTACCTAATTTTTATAGTAACAACATTTGGAAAAGGACGTGTTTATAAAGATAATACCCTGTTCCCAAGACAGTTTTTAATACTCAGAAACTTCCAACGGAAGAAATAACGGTGGAATAATTTTCCACGGACTCTTTTGCAACTTCCTTCAACGTACGTTTGCTGAATCGGTATAAGGCACTCGTTTAAAATCACATTCTTGTTACTGTTAATTAAACGACGGTGTAAAGCTGTGAGCACCAAAATTTTGTGGTATAATTACACCGTTTGAATAGGCAGGAACCTCCGCTAACGAATACATCTGGGCTTCTTTAAAGTTTATGCCATTGAATCCATCGCACGGATTGTTCGAATGAACACATACACGTACACAGACACATCTACGAGTAAACACCCCCACGACATTTATTTGCAGCTTTCCGGAGCACGTGTCGACTTTGACGAACTTCCATACCTTCGGATGAAAGGAAGGGACCTGGTCCCACACTAATTTATAGTTCACCAGACGAATAGGTGTAGCGGAGACTGGCGTCATACAAGATGGCCGTCCATTTCGTCGCGAACGACAACACCATCTGGCGGAGGCACCATCTGATGAGATTGGTGAGGTGGCACCGGGGAACCCTGGTAATTTGGATTGAACGTTGTAAGAAGCGGAGTGGCGTTGGCTACCACATGCGGTGCAACTGGTCCTACTGGATAAGGAATGTAACGAGCATTCTCACACATGTCGATATTTACAACACTAGCGTGTCCGGGTACTATCGATGGACTTCCGACTTTGTATCCCACCTGTAAATTTAAAATAACATATTATAACATTCAAAAGATTAAATCTCACTTTTTAAAAATAAATTCAATCCAATGTTAAACATTAAACTTAAATAACTTTAAAATTGAAAAACTTAAAAAAAATTTCTAATTTGACTTAATTTTTTCCTAATTTAGAAATGCCGAGTAATTATTTCCAACAATTTTAATTACAGTTTATTTTATTCTCAATGCTGCTATTGCTTGAAGAACAAAAATTACAATTCGAATTAATCTCCTTGGTTTACCAGAATTAAAATTAAAATTTTAATCCGTCTGTAATCATTTTTATAACAGCATTTGCAACGAAAACTAATTAAAATTTATATTTTATTGATTCGATCTCTTAACATGTAGACTGTGATTAAATATATATATTATCAAAATAAGAAAAGGTAGTAGAAAACAAGGTTTGAATCATATTTATTTGAAATAAATGTCCACTTACTTTTTGATTATAAGCATTTCTCCTTAATGCGTCCGCATATGTATCTTCTTCGGCTTCGTAAATATTTTTGTTTGGTTTTTTAGAATTTTTTTCCAGCGTACTATATCGAGAAACTGAAAATATCCGTGAAAAATCCGTTAAATATACTTCTGTTTCATTAACTTCCTATCCAAACATCTCACTGTTATTTTAAAACCAATCGTTTTCTAAACTCGTTAAAAATGAAGACATTTAAAAAGAGCTTAACCAGATTTAAAACATTAGTGAAACATTAGAAAAATATTCCTTATAAACCTCGAATAAGTTTCGGAATTGCTTACTCTTTTATTCAACTTTACAATTTTTTTTTACCATTAAAATTCCTTTTATATGTTCTTACAAAACGGAGAATTTGATATGGAAATTTCTTTCTTAAATTACTACTTGTGAATATTATAAATTTAGAAAAAAAATTATCGATAATTTACATTAATATTCCATTTAGTAGAGAGAAAGTTAAAATTATGGAAGGTTATAAAAATCTCTTAAATAAAAAGATATGGAAGAGATGGAAAATAATGATAGGATATTACTATAACATATATGATTGATCGCGTGGATGTAGTAAACACAATATTTCATGTTTACCTACCTTGATCTAAATACCTATAGGTATTATACTGTCCTATCGTTCCGTCAGGTATATAGGTTCCATCACCTTGATCGATCAAGTAAGTCGTAGCTACTGGCTTCCCCTGTTCCTCCTACCGGATAAAATCGAAAAAAAAAAGAAAAAATTCCAACATCAATTTTATCTCGGCATGTCTCTTGAAGCATGACATAAGAATTTATTTTTTTCTCGCGAAAAGACAAAAAATTCTAAAGAAACAATGTCTTTAGACTTAGATGTTTGATGAATTTTTTCTTATTCTTTTTTAAAGTCATATTCAATGATTTCAAATGTAAACATAGCAAATCAAATTGCTCTTTTCATAGAATTGTGTAAATTAGTTCTATTCACATGACTTTATCTCGTACTTATTCTTATGTAAATTAATTTACATTTAAATTAACTTTATGTGTATTTCGTTAAGTAAACTTCAAACACTTATAGACCACTTACAGATGTCACCTTGAAAATATCATGATGAATCTACATGGCAAAAAAAAAGACACAAAAGATAGACGACGGCTCCATAAAAAGACAGTCGTAACAAAACCTTAGATTATCGATTGATTTTTAAAGTTTACAGTTGTGACATTTGCGCGAAAAGGGTTAAAATATTAGAGACAGATGTGACAGAAGACAAGATTCTACACTTACCGAATATTCTCCAGTGCTTCTTCCATCAGAATATGGTTCACTTTTTTCCGACGTACAACTTAATGTTTCTCCGTTCATAGTCTCATTATAGCTACTTGGAGCATACATTTCGATGGTCGCCGCTTTGCTACTGCAGTGGTCACTATCTTCTGAAACAATACGAAAAATGTCTTACGAACAAGCGACTTACAGTTAAATTTATCAAGAGGAAAGATAAACAGGAAAATAGTAATACCGTAACCGTTAGTAGCATACTTACTTTGGCATAACTTTGCCAATCGCTGTAACACTTACAAATGCAGCATGCAGGAAAGAAACAGAAAAAGATGTACGATAATAGAGTGACTAATAGGAGTAACACATCTCGAATTTCAATTCAGAAACAAGTAATTCTAAGTTATAAATTAGAAATTGTATAGAAGGGCGTTTTACAAAGTTAGATATTTTTGTAATAAAATAATAAAATTTGGATAAACGCGTATTTTTAAGCCACTTATATTACTTCAGTAAGAATATAGATAAATTATAAGAGGATAAAAATTGATCGGATTTTCCCCTACCTTCCTCTAATCTTTTCTTTCTTCTCTTTCTCACAAAGCAGATTACCAAAATGATATTTAATATTAGTAGAAAGCTTCCCACAACAGAAACTGTGATGATAATGATTCTTGGTATGTCTCCTTTGCCCGAGAGCACTTCCGTTATCACTGGTTTAGTCTCATTTTTAGGTACTTCACCTGTTCAAATAGCAAAAATATTTTATATAATAAGCTNTAATTTGTTATCCAGGTCTTTCAGAATTTTGATAATAATTATTATTATCTAAAAACAAATATTTTTTTATTATATAATTAAATATGATAATAATTATTTATAAAATTAGTACAAGAAGGGACATGAAAGTTATTAAAAGATGTTTACCGTAGCAAAGGTTGTCGATAAACCATAATAAACCACTTACCTTCTTAATTCTGCTGTTATTTTAAGGAAATATTGAAAATTAAATAGAGGAGAATAGTAATTACTTTAATTAAAAGATAAGTTATACTCGATAAAAATTTGTTAGCAAACAAGATTAAAAATTAATGGATTTTTCATAGTTTAAATGAATATATTTTAAATATTTTAAACGTTTATATATATTCAAACCTTCATGCATAGGCGCTTGGTTTTGCTTGAGAAATTTCGTAACGTATGGATTTACTTGACTCTTGGTTTTATATTAAATGAAAAATAAATATGAAAATTTTTAGCATGAAATATAAAGTAATTGGAATAGGATGTAAGACGGTGCAACGAATCGACATGTAAAACGAAACGTCATTAACTGAATGAGATTAGTTAGACAGTAATTACATTCGCTCTTACAATGGAATATCATTATATTTAGGAGTCACTTTCTATCAAACAATAGCTATAAAAACAACAATACCGGGAGGAATTGATACTATTTAACCAATGTAAATTTACTTTTCATCGAGAATGTTTATTCAAAATATTAACATGCTATAAGTTAATTAAGATACCATAAATATTCCAAATCTTATTTTTCAAAAAAAAAAAAAAAATAGATAAAATGCTTTCAATAAAAGCGATACCCGCCATCATCGAAGAGAATTTTTCCATGTAAAATGAACTATTGAATTTGTACGAATGATTGTATAAATGTAACAAACATTAACGTGTTAAGCATCTGATAAGTTTCGACTGGAGATACTTCTGTATTAATTAATTTATAATGTTTACAATATAAAATTATTATACAATTACTTTAAAATATCGAGAATAATAGCGATAAAAGATAAACACGCTTGATAAAGCGAATGAATATCAATATGCAAAACGAATTCGGATTTATAGTATAATCAATTGCTCCTAGATGGCGCTGAACCGAATATATATTTTCGTAATCTATTTTGTGGAAGATGGAATGACTCTGAAGATTTTTGCCATAAACTCGCATATTTCGTCCTTCTACTATTTTCGTGAAATGAATTATAAACGAAATTTTCCGTTTTTATTCGAAGAACTACAAGAGTAGTGACATCCCAATCCATTAACCCAGCTCCTTTCTCGCAACCTATCCATCTTAATTAAATGAAAATAGTGTTGTTGCTTTTACTGTCATTTTATCCAATTTCTTTTCCAGTGCAGAGAGCGGAGAATTCCAATAAATTGAAGAGATGCCATATAGACTAACCCCGATGCCACTTTCTGCTCTTGCAACCAAGTTAAACTAATAGCGACAGCCAAAAAATAATTAGCTTAATAAATATGATTAAGGCTAATATTCATCCCTTATAATTTTATTAATAACAATTAATTACGAAATAAGTAAAATATAGTGAAAACAATTGAAATCTTCTGGCAGTTAACGCTTTGCGAAATCTTAAATCACAAATTTGAGCCAATTATTGAAGAGTAAAATTTATAGTTATCATATGATATTCATTTGAACATATCCTAGCAAACTGCAACAACATATAACGACTGAATCTAAATGGTTCTATCGAACGAGAAGAGAACCAATTGTCTAAACCAAAGCAGCAAACTCGTTGTAGAGACGAACTTTGTTAATTTCTCGGAGGGATAATTGCCTAATGAAAATGGTTATTTTGTAAACGATAGTCTGTTTCATCGAACGGATACACGTTAATTTGTTTGCAGAAATAAGCAAAGTCGATTTACAAACAAAAACTTTTAAAGTCGATTGCAAAACATTTATTCAAAGTAAAAAAACAAATGAGTCGCTGGAGAAACAATTCCGTTACAAATGTAGAAAGGATTTTTTTTGTTATTTTTTATTTTTTTGCGTGAGGAAAGGGATTAGAGCTATGACAAATCAGTCTGCGAAAACTCAATTTTAAGTCTTAAGGTGTGCCTACTTTTTTTATCCACTTAATGTCATTCGTGTTTATCAATCACTTCTGATTGCGTTCTCGAATTTGCCTAAGAAAAATAATGAAGTATCGCAGAAATTCATAAAACTTTAACTGAGTACTTTGTCGGTGACAGTAATAGACACCGGCAGACGGAATTAATGAAATTTTAGTAAAAATTTGGCAGGAATTTGATGAAAATATCCGGGCGGGGCCTTACAAATTACCACGAGTTATTTTAAATGTAATATCGAGTTATTAAGAAATAGTCTTCGATTCCTTTTTACCGCTACTTCTTCTATTAATAATTTATTTATAGCCGAGTTAATTCCCAGAGAAGAAAAATTACAACCAAAGAAATATTTCCTCTTCGAACGAAAAAAAAAAAGTATAATCATAGGAAATCTGTAAAAGGAACGTTGACAGCTAAAATAATTAATATTCAAATGATCGTTTGGTTATTCTATTGTAATGATGTGATTTTAAAATTTATATATATATAAATCTTTCTTATTATTATTTGACAAAAGGAAATGAGTATTTTACTTTCTGGTAGAGTTTTCTCAAATCAAATATTTTAAATTCTAGATTAAAAGTTGTGTTCAAATTTTAAGTTTGATTATTTGTACTTATCGATTTTTTTTCTTTTATTTTTTGAAAATTCATCGTTCATTTTGTAATTCTTCCATTGGATATCAAATCCACTCACCGAGGCGAGGAAACTACTTCAATCTCCTTCAATGTCTTTGGCCATTACTGTTAGTGTGGTGGAAGGAGGGATCAATGGAACAGTTGGTTTGGGATGTCGAGGAAACAAACTCTTGGATGTAATTCCGTTCTGGCTTCGTCTGCGGAATTCAAAAGTGGGACAGTTAAACATTTTGTAGCTCGACTTCGAACGTAAAACTAAAAGTGTTCGTATATTTGGACTTTGCAACAGACGTGATCTGAAAAATTAATTTTGTTTCGTGAAGCTTTCATTGTTGCAATCCTTCAAGAATTTCATTGAATGTTTAAATTTATCTTTTCAAATTTTCGTATTTGACTTTAGAAGTTTTATTCTTATGTACATTAATCTACTTCTTTTTATAAGCTGTAATTTTGAGAATGAAAAGCAACATTATAAGATTGAGCGTGTTATTCTCAAAACTAACGACCGCAATTTATAGATTTAAATTTGATAATTTGTTATCCAGGTCTTTCAGAATTTTGATAATAATTATTATTATCTAAAAACAAATATTTTTTTTTATTATATAATTAAATATGATAATAATTATTTATAAAATTAGTACAAGAAGGGACATGAAAGTTATTAAAAGATGTTTACCGTAGCAAAGGTTGTCGATAAACCATAATAAACCACTTACCTTCTTAATTCTGCTGTTATTTTAAGGAAATATTGAAAATTAAATAGAGGAGAATAGTAATTACTTTAATTAAAAGATAAGTTATACTCGATAAAAATTTGTTAGCAAACAAGATTAAAAATTAATGGATTTTTCATAGTTTAAATGAATATATTTTAAATAATACTATAGCAATTTAAAAAAAAAACTGGCAAGAAAAACAAAATTTAATTTATCCGGAAATTTAAAACGATACCTTTAAATCTTCTTCTTTTTTTAATAATACATTTTCAATTTATTTTCCCAATACAATTTTATTTACTTTGATTTTTAACCAGTGGATTAAATACAAAATAATAACAAAAGATTTCTTTAATTCATTTCTTCTACGTTTGATAAATTATTAAAAGACAAAACTCTATCGACAAAAACAGATTTTCATCCTTTCAGAATTTAAAATAAGCTTGGCGTTCTTCAAATATTAAAATTCTTAAATAATTGGAGAATTCATAAATATTCATTGTACTTGACTTTTATTTTAAGTCGGTATTTAATATTGATAGAAGAAATATTCAACTCCTTGGCAACTTTTATGTAAATTGGTGTAATTAATGTCGACTAACTGTAATTGCTTTTTATCCAAATATAAATTAAAATCAGAAAAATTATTATCGCCCGTTTACAGACGTGGAATGGATACGAGTGACAAATTATGAATATTTTTAATTACATATTATTCAAAAAGTGTCAGTTCAGATATAAAGTCAATTTTTTTTCTATGTGTAAACCTTAAAAACAAAATAGATCAGTGCTTCTGAATATTTCTAAATTTATAACATCATTAATGCTAATTTATTAAAGTAATTCGCTTAAAAATTCTTTTAATTTAATTGAAGAAATTTTTGACATTTCTGATAAATTCTATCGGATTAGAATGAATTTTTTTTAATAGTTATTGTATTCAATTTTAATCCGGAAAATATTACTCAATTGATTTAAATAGCGTAGTAAAATTAGAATTATATTCGTGGGTTAAGAATATAAACTTAAAGTTTCATACATTTTATACATTATCCTATAAATATAGTCTTATACTACTTATTAGCTGTATCTATTCTCTTAAACAGATATGTACAGTATATACATAATATAAATACGTACCTGGAGTCATCGTCGAATTAATGAGCTTATGTTTACGATTAGATCTAATGTTCCTAAATCATTTACATGCTTTGGAGTTAGTAAATACCATAAAGATTAATGTTGATAATTATTAGTAGCAATGTTTCGTAATAAGAGACACGAGTACCTTGGCTGAGTTAAATTTCAATATATAATCGTATGTCTATCTACATTCAATAGCTTAAGCAAATATTAGCATAAAAAATATTTATATTGTTATTAAACAGTCATCTATAAAGTTAGAATGAATATTCGGATGTATTGTAAGATATTCGCTTATGAAAATATGTATGGAATTGGAATTATAAATAGCAATAATTTAAAAAT